TCCCCGTGTCAGCTGTGAATCTCTTCTCATCCACGGACCCGGTGGAGACGCCGTGCTCCAACAACACCCCAAATGGGCAGTGTTTCTTTTAGGGGGGAAAGGGGGTACATTTAGAAAGGGCACATGGCTGGACCCGGCTCCTTGGTGACTGGCTGAGCAGGCAGGAGGCGGCAGTCCTTTCCGTGTGGTCATTCTCCAGGCCGTCTGTCTTCAGAGAGAGAGAGACGACAAGCGGCCTGCTCACCAGTCGGCCTCCCCCCCTGGTGTCCACGGTTCATACTTCACACAGACGCTGATGCACCATCACAGTGTAGTAATTTTCATTGTGGGGTTATCCATGATGCAGGCTTTGAGTTGTGCTGGGGGAGGTGATACTGCCCCCTCTCTAGAGCTCTTATGAGCTGCCAGCCGCCTCCTGTTGACATTCCTCACTTCCGCACAGGTGTTTCTGCGGCCGACTGTGGGGATCTAGAGGTTTCTGTCCAATGCTGTGGTGCTGATCGTCACCCTTTGGGGTTTAGCCGACTTCTCTGCACCTGTGATGTCACGCCGTTTGCTCTTGGCGTCACCCCAGGGCCTCATCCTCTCTGCCATCAGTGCTCTTCTTGTGGCAGGAGTCCAGGGAATCCTATTGTTCTAAGTTACATGAAGTTGGTTGCTGTCACTGGATGGTTTAATTTTGAACTGAGCTGATCATTTATGTCTGTTACTACACAGTCAGTGCAGCTAAAAGCTTCAGTGAACTGTCTGTAGCGGCCGAAGGAACAGAGACACACAGGCAAACTCAGGTGTAGAATATTACAGCCGAATGGCAACTTTTTATCAGGAACAGGAAGAACAGGGATGGAGGAAACGGGGGAGGTGCTGATGGGCTGTTTGGTCTGGTGGGTCCAGGCCAGTCGCTGGTCGCTTTGGGCACATCAGCACTGGCATTCTGAAGAATCGTTTCCACCTGTATTTTGTCCAAAACTTCACGATTTACTTTCTATAGGCTGTCATTCTGTCAAGTCACAGAGGGAGGCTGTACTTTCCTGGCTTCCGCTCTGAAGTCAAACCCCTCACATCTGAGAGAGCTGGACCTGAGCTACAATCACCCAGGAGACTCAGGAGTGAAGCTGCTCTCTGCTGTACTAGAGGATCCCAGCTGTAAACTGGAGAAGCTGAAGTGAGTACAGAGTGTGAGTCTGACACACTACAGATACTTATGCATGTATGTGAAGAAGAGGCACCAATAAATAAATGGATACAGCAGCACTATATCATTCTGCTTCTCCGATAGTGTGGACCACTGTGGAGAGTGCAGGACCAGACCAGGCATACAGAAATGTAAGTGTGTTTGCATGTTTTTATTAATAATACCATTAATACTATGTTATGGTTGTGTTCACACAATTGTTGTGATGAGTGTGGCTTTTTGCATTGTGTGTAGATGGATTTCCATGTTTGTGTTTAGGTGAGTTTCTGTTTGTGTCATTTTAGACAACATCCAAATGAGAAAAACAAAATATCAAAATCATCACCAAAAACACTATCAATTAATTTAGTCATTTTTAAAAATATTTTTTACAAATAATTTATAGCTGCTTATATTGTCTTTGTGTTTGTGTGGGAGTGTAAGATGGTTAAAATATATTCTAATGTTGTACATCTTTAATTTCACAAAAACAGTATCCTTTGCATTTGTTCTTTTTCCACATGCCGCAATGTGTTTTCTGTGCGAGATTCGTTAGTTTTGTCCTAAGATGGCACCTGTAGGCAGTGACACCGGACTCTCTCCTCAAGTGAATTTGCATTTTTACAGGGTGGTTCTGGAACACTCCTTAATATTCATAAGAGAATATTCCTGATTGGCCACTGATTGCCTTAAACCAGGGGTGCCCAAATCCAATCCTGGAGGGCCAGAGTCCTACACATTTTTGGGTTTCCCCTCATTTAACACACCTGATTCAACTACTTGTGCTAATTACCACACAGCTCTTGAGCTGAATCATTTATGGTGGAACAGGGAAAGAACTAAGCTACACAGGGCTCCAGCCCCCCAGGACTGGAATTGGACACCCCTGCCTTAGGTAGAAAAAACAGGCAACGCATGTCAATGTTCCAATCAGGTAGTGCCCCTCTCATAAATATTAATATGCCAGCCAATTTTGTAGCGCTTCGCTTATGAATATCAATAAGATTTCCCTAACCACGGTGCTAAAAGAAATTTGCACCCGGGATACACTGAATGTGCGGCGTAAAATATCGAATTTCATTTCGCCGCCCATGTTAACAGATTAGAGCGGCCACGAGCCTGCACAAGATGCGGGGCTCACGCCTTGCAGTAGCGGCGCCGCATCTGGACTCGCGCGCGCGGTAAACGGTTCTCTATGGAATCGTATTGCATTCATCTGAAAAACAATCAATTCTGTTTTTTGAAATTAATTAAATAATAATCCCGTTTTTCTGAGCAGTATTTTTCTGTTTTTCTGAATTAATGACATAACCTTTCTATTTTTCATGATGCACGATCTGTGTAGTTTAATCCGCTTTTATTGATGGTTTGTAGACAGTATGATCATTACTTTGCGCGGCACCTATTCCGCCCCGCTTGACACCGCAGTGTTTCTCCCGGATCAGTAGATACAGTATGACACGCGTCGCTGATTTCTGAATCAAATAACTTTCCAGTAGTTACGTTATTTTTTTTATCAAGTAGAGACGTAACGTCCACAAAAGCTACAATTTCCAGGATATGTCTGAGAAAATCAGAGATTTCCTCTGCAGTATGATTTTGAAACGCAACAATCAGACAGAAATAAAGCATGTTCATGCGCGACCTTGTACTCTGCTTCTACTGCATGTCTATCAAAACACGCATAGTTACTTCAGCATTAGTTTAAATACAAGAACTCGTGGCCATAGGTGGAAATTAGCG